GAAAGGGAAGAATGTCAGAGGCTTGCAGAAGTAGCCTTAGTAGTAAGAGATAATGGATTTAAAAAACAGTGTGATTGTCAGTAGCCTTATTAAAGTTTCGTGTAGGGCCAGCTATCAGTTGCTCAAGAAATCTGGGCAAGAGGCACAGAACTGACCCATCATTCCCTTATCTCTGTGTTCCAGTCTCTCTGTGTTCCTGCGCTTTTAACCAAGCACCCTTGAGGTACTTACTCCCATTAGTTAAGTGAGAAGTATTGGACATATGTGAGGTGACTTACCACAGAATGTGTCACTGTGCTAGGGCCGAGGGTAGTACATGGAGTCGCGTGGACTGGAAGCAGTCTCTATGTCTCTAGGTTAGCGCCAAAGCCTCCTGACTTGTTTCTAGATCCACAGAGCAGTAGTATCTGCTTCCGAGTGTTGTAGATGGTGAAGTTAGAGAGTGTGAGAAAAAAGGCTGTCCATTTTGAAAACAGAAGCCGTTCAATCTGTAGAGTAGAAAATGCAGTCATCCAGAATCAGATGCCCGCCACCTAGTAGTCACCAGCATTCTTAGCACATGTCTTTTCTGGCCTGCAAATTTTTTACAGAGATAGAATTCACATGCCATAAGGTTTATCCTTTAAAACACCTTTTCACTTACAGATGTAAGACCATGTGTTGTCTGCTGTGCACTTCATAACCAGCCTCTTCTGTTTAATGTCGGAGCAGTTTCCCTGTCATTGCTGCTTGAAAAAATGTTGACTGTTTCATTAGTATGCTATAATTTAACTATATGGGAGCATTTAAATTTCCTACAGTTATTTTACTAATATGAATATTTTCATAGTGAGTATAATTTTTTATGTCTTTGCTTAACTGATTCTAAAATAATTTTCTGAACTTGTAATCATGAAATACAAACACTAAGACTTCTTAAGAGTATTATTAATTTGTCTGCTAAGACAAAGTATCTGATGATTTCTGTTTCTGCCTAACTGGGAATTTTCTCATCAACTTTCAATAATAAATTGTTTTATTTCGTTACATTTATCAAGAAGCACTATGTTGTGATATGTTTTTGCTCTTTTGGCTTTTAGGGGGAGCACCACCTAGCTCCCAAATAAATCACACATGGAGGCTTACTCTTACTTATGAAGGCCTGGCTTATTTTTTGTCATCTTAAATTATCTTTTGCCTCTAGGCTTTTACCTTTCTCTTCTTCTGTATGCCTTCTTTACTTGCTCTGTGTCTTGCTGCATAGCTGGGTAGGTGGCCCCTGATGTCCTCCTCTCCTTGTTCTCTTTCTGTTGTTCCACCTCCTCTCATTTCTCCTTTTATGCTCTCTGCCTGCCAGCCCCGCCTGACCTTGCTTCTACCTCACTATTGGCCAGTCGTCTCTTTATTGGGACTATTAGGTATTTTAGACAGGCAAAGAATCACAGCTTCACACTTAATCAAATGCAGCATAAACAAAAGTAACACACCTGAAAATAATATTCTACAATACACTATTTTTTTAGATTTCAAGAGCAAAATTTTACCTAGAGTAATAAAAATGGACAGAGAACATCATACCCTTTCTGAGTAGCATATTTAGTGTACGGAGCAGTGAGTCACAGATGGCATTTCCATATCTGCCTGTTATGAAGCTTAATCATGTTCGCCTCCCTTCCTTTGCTCTTCTTCCCCATGCCATCCTCTTCCTTTCTTTTATGTCTCTTTATTAAGATCTGCTTGTGAAAGAAAATGTGTGTCTTCTGAGCCTGCTCTAATTCATCTAATATGATGATCTCCAGTTCCTCCCATTTTCCTGCAAGTGACACAACTTCTTTACGGCTGAGTGAAGTGTTATTGTGTATCTGGAGCATGCTTCCTTTTCCTTTTAGCTAGTGTGGACACCTAAGCTGCTTCTGTACCAAATGCGGTGTTGAACATGGAAATTCCAGTTCTCAAAGCACAGGAGGACACTAAAGCCACTGTTAAAAAATGTATCAGCTGTGAAGTCAGCACTCTATGGAGTCTTGTACCCCTTACTTCTGCCAAACAGAAATCAGAATTCTCAGGGCACTTGAAGATGGTACAAGAGTAGCCATTTCATAGTCGCTCGGTATATGACATTTTCATTCTGGCTTTTTTGAAAACACATGACCACATGCACACACCCTTGATATGGTGCCCAACAAGGATATTCTTAGTTGTCACCCTGTAAGGTGACAAATAACTTAAAACTTCCTTATCCCTGATGCATCACCATCCCATCCCCAACTGGGGATTGGCTGCATGGCCTGCTTTAAAAACAGGTGTCCTTCGTAATCTTTGGGACAGACTGCACCTCCCCTGAGATGCGGGAATGTTCCCACCCTTCTCTCCTACGATCTGCAGACATTTCTCCTGCTCGTCGTTGTCCTTTGTTGTTGCCCGCACTGATGCCTCTCCGACTGCAGAAAAAGCTATCAGACACTCATGATGTCTATTTTACTTTTGTGTTTATGTCAACGGGAAACTGCAAGGAGTTTTATTCCATCTTTAAAGCTCATTTCTCAATATCAGTTTTGACTGTTTTGGAATATGACAGTAAAGAGGTGTTAACCCAGAAGACTTCCTTAGTGCCCAGAACATTCCAGCCCCTTCTCTTTGACAGTTGGAGCATTTCATTCAGTTCCCACGTTAATTCTATCATGTTTATAAAGCAGAGGCTGGTACCAGATCTTGCCTCTGTGCTCCTGTGACTGCTGAGTGATGTGGTAGACATAGACCCCTTCCTGGCACATCAAGCCACAGATTAGCCTAATGCTTATAACACCCGCTCCTCTGTTCCATGATCATCCTATATACAGATGAACAGATTTTGTAATTACTATGAATTAACCAATGTTTCTCTTTTAATTTTTATTCACATGCCTTTATAATCATATGTTACTGATGAATCAGTTCTGTGAAGACAAGACTATAGTTACATTACCGTCTTCACTTGGGTCAGGTTGTCCAGTATCTGATTGAGAATACAGATTTTCCACTGGCAGTATTATGACCTAAATCGTCCTACTTGTTTGTTTTATATGTAAGATGAGGATAGTACTATTTTTCAAAAGCCTAGGATCTGGGGGTGGGGGTGGAATACTATGAAAATTAATTTCACACCTTCATGCTAAGCACTCACCTACACAGTTAAGCAGATATGAGGTCTCCCTTCTTCAGGAGTTTCTATAATTTACTTCTTGCCTTAATTCTTGTAGCATGTTATCACTCATGACTTTATTGTGGCACTGTTCAGTGCTGTTTCTCTGGCACTGATGTTACTGGATTAACCGTTTGACAGTCTGACGTCCAGCTTTAAGTAAACAGACATTACCTAACTCATTAAGTTTCAAATAGATTTTTTTAAAGCACATGACTTTTCTTAAAGTTCAAAAAAGGCATCTAACTATCATATATTAGAAGCCACCTCAGATCCTCAATTCCCTTCCACCTTCCCACTGCCAGGTATTGCCACCTCACATGCTTTCCGAATAGAGTGCAATCTCTTTCAAAAACTGGGAGAACTAAAAATAAAATATACATGGTAATGAACTTTAAGAAAAATGTTAGGAGACCAAGCATGGTGTCACACCCTAAGGCAGGAAGGTCACCAGTCTCGGGCCAGCCTGAGCTATATAGCAAGACTACCCTTCAAGAAATAAAAAAGAAAAACATTATGATAAATTTGAATTATGATCCATTTCTTTTAAGCTAATATTTTGAATTTTAATTAAAAATGATAAAACTGCCTCCATAATTATATGTATAATTAAACTGTTAGATTAAGAGTTAAAATAGTCCTGGGCATGTTGCCATACAAACTCCTGAAATAAGACAAAAGGATGGCTGCTCTCAGGTGTACCTGTACTACAAAGCAAGTTCCAGGACAGTGAGGACTATATAACATGACCTGTGTCAAAAGCAAACAAAAAGTTAAAATATATGTATTGCACCATTTTCTAGAGCAAGTAATCATCATTATATTACTAATTTTATACACACTTTACAGACACAGTTGCAGATTGTATAGTAACTTACGTGCTATGATGGTCCCTGACAATCAAGAACTTTCACTCACAGGCACATAATGCTCAGCGAAAAACATTAGACCAGGATAGTAACATGAAACCTCACAGATATGATTGCAGATGTTTCTACACCTGCACAGTAATGTTCATCACTAGGTTGAGACAGACAACATTTATTATTTCAATGAATTTGGAGAGCCCATGTAAGGAGCCAGATATAGCACCGTGGCATACATCTGTAATCCCAGCGCCTCTACAGTGAGATTGGAAGTAGAAGACTGGAGAGCCACCCAAAGGAAACCTACAGGCCAGCTAGGCTAGAGTGCACATCATAGCAAAAACATGTAAGACCTGCCTCCTAAGCAAGGTGATGGGAAGGGGCTCTTGAAAGTTGTCCTCCAATCATCCTGCATGTACTGTGACATGCACACACCAACACTCACAAAATAATAATAGTAAAGTTTTTAAGAAGTATGAAAACCTGGAAGAGCTTCAGGTCTCTATTGTCTAATAAGACCTTGTGAAGAGCAACTGTGACAGTCTTAGTCACCCCTCAAACTGGGCTGGACAATGGTATATTTAAGAGATCGCTATAGGATTGGAACAGGGCAGCTTTCCAAAACTACCCTATTGAAGTGACGTCTTTGAATCAGTGAAACCAAAACACTGACTTTAAAACACAAAGGACTCACATGGCACAGATCAATGCACAGTGCCCTCGGAATAAAGACTGTAAGATGTCACATGTGTGAGAGAGACCGAGAATGGGCCTTGCAGAAAACTGCAGTATCATTGTGTTCACATTCAGAATTCTTTGGCTCCTGATTTTACATTAGAGATATTGACTAAAGTTGCCAGCTTTATTTTTTACCTAGATTGAGTTGTTCATTTTAGAAATAATTTTCTTCCTTAATGCAGCCTGAGTTTGGAGAAGAAATGTGAGTGCTAAGTCATGGTTCTTCTTTGTTGTAGGTAAAACACTAGTGAAGAAGCTGGCGAGGAAGGTAAGAAGTGCTGGGGCTTTATGTGTTCATTTGGGGTGACCTGGAAAATGAACTTGTATACCTTAAATTGAAAGATTTTCACTTGTGTGTCTGTCCTAAGGATATCGAGGATGTACTATCAGGAATCAAAATAGCACGCTGTGGATCAACTTTTTTTAGAGACCTGGGTGATAAAGGTAATTTTCAATCATTGTTAAATTTCTATGTATATATTTAACTAAGTAGTGTTAGATAATGAAACTGGGATATTTGTGCCATGTGATTTTTTTTTGGTTGGAATAAATTTATTTAATCTGTCTATAAACAAGGTGTTTAATAGTTATGGCATTTTTTTTTTGAACATGGTCTTTTCACTTTATTCTGTTTATGTATTCTCCTGCCCCCAGATTTGGAGGCAGAACATGATGTGTGCCCAGCAGTCCAGCTTTGAGCCCTATTTTGTTTCAGTTTCCTCCAATTCACCCTAGGCTCCTTGCCCAGGTATTGGGATCAGAGAGCAGAACACACAAGGGCCCACCATCCTCGCCCGTAGCTATGAAAGCCATCCTGGGTAGAATGGAAGGAGTTCCAGTGAGATGAAGCCTTCAAGGTTGTCTTCCCAACATGCCCATTTCATCAGATTTGGGTGGTGTGCTGGCCAGGAGCCGGTGGCTGCAATGCCTTCAACTGACTGAGGAGGACAGGAATGCGAGGGCGCTGCTGGGGGTCCACAGTCATCACAGAGGCCAAAAGCTGCCGCAAAGCTGAAGAATGCCTGGGGCTTTGTGGGATGTTGAGTTCATTCTGCACAGCAAGGGCCACACTGTCACCCTTCTGGAACACCATATCATAAGGGCCTTCCCCAAACATCATGGCGTAAAGCACACAGCCTAGGGACCAGACATCAGTCCGCTCATCGATGACACAGAGGCTCTGCACAGAGAAAAGCTCAGGTGCCCGGTAGGAGATGGTGCACCGCTGGGCTGCCCAGTCCTGTAGAGTTAAGGCCTGGCGTGAGCCCTCCACCTGGATGCACGCTTGATTCATAGAACCCAAGTCCATTAAAACTGGCTGCCCCTCATCACCAAGCAAAATATTGGTGGGCTTCAGGTCCCTGTGTGCATAGCCTCTGGCATGAATGGCCTCAAGGCCTCTGCAGATACCCAACAACAACACAAGGATTTGGTCCTCAGTCAGGAAGTTGCCTTGGTCCTTCAGCCTTTCTATCTCATTCCACAGTGTACCTCTCTTGAAGAAAGGTAGCAGCAGCCAGGCTTCCTGCTTGGCACCTCGTTCTTTCAGACAGTAAGCCACGAGGCGAAAGATGTTGGGATGCTGGAAGAGACGATGCATGTCCGCCTCTTGCTGGGCCTCTTCCTGGTCCTGCTGCTCGTGACACAGGATTCGCTTCAGGGCGTAGAAGTGTCCATCATGTAACCCCTCCACTAGGTCCACATAGCTGAACCCACCCTCCCCCAATTTCTGGATGAAGAGGTAACGCTTATTGTCAATGCTGACAGTTCCCCGGGAGCAGACACACAGTGCGTGGCCCATGTCTCAGTCATTCTCTTCAAGGATGGTCTGTCTTCCAGGGAGAGTGGGCTCTTCCAGGCGATGGGCTGGGGGTCCAGCGGAGCATGCTGGCTCGGGCCTGACCCAGTTATGGCATTTTTAAATGCATATTAAATCAGATGAGTTAGACCGTATACCAGATGTAACAAAGTGCAGGGAAAGAAATGGACAAATCAGCAACAAGGTTTGTTTTTAAATCGGTACATTATCCACAATGCCCAAACAATAGAAGCAAATACTAGAATGTCCCTAAAGTAGTGCCATTCGAAAGAAAACCCATCTCCCAATAGCAACAGTTCATTTTAGGAGTAGTACGGCACAGAATACATATGAAAAAATACATCACAAGACAGCCAAGTCCACAATAATGTAACTTCGTATAAAAACCTAAGCTGCAAATAAACATTGGTCCCATGAAAAATAAACTAGACACACTCCAGATGGTTATGTTGGGAACCTAATATCCATAATGGCAGCCTTTTACAATTTTACTCAAGAAGAGAGCTGGTGTGCAAAGACAAGAAGTCTGAGCTACTGCAATGACAGAATGTCCCTGGGAATCTGATCGGCGTGGTTATTGTAGCAAGGTCATGGGAGGAAGTGCCTGCTCTTGACAGTTGCACTCTTCATATCCTATAGACACTACAAAGAGTCTGTCTCAAGTGTAATCATAGTATTAAAAGCAAATCACCGCAGCTCTAAATAGCTTGTCAACAAAGGAGGTATTAATTAAGTTAAATAAACCAGGCACTACACAAGAGAATGGAAAAACCAAATACCTCATGTTTGAAAGGAGGGATGAGGAAAGAGTGAAATAAAGATGCATGCACTTTTTCCTCCCAACCATGCGCTTCAAAAGGAAGACTAAAGAACCCAAAGAAAAACATATAGGCATCCTCCTGAATATTAACCTTCAGCAAGCGACGAAAGGAGACAGAGACAGAGACCCACACTGGAGCACAGGACTGAAATCTCAAGGTCCAAATCAGGAGCAGAAGGAGAGAGAGCACGAGCAAGGAACCCAGGACCGTGAGGGGTGCACCCACACACTTAGACAATGGGGATGTTCTACTGGGAACTCACCAAGACCAGCTGGCCTGGGTCTGGAAAAGCCTGGGATAAAACCGGACTCTCTGAACATAGCGGACAATGAGGACTACTGAGAACTCAAGAACAATGGCAATGGGTTTCTGATCCTACTGCACACACTGACTTTGTGGGAGCCTAGGCAGTTTGGATGCTCAACTTACTAGACCTGGATGGAGGTGGGGGTTCCTTGGACTTCCCACAGGACAGGGAACCCTGATTGCTTTTCGGGCTGAGGGGGGGGACTTAATTGGGGGAGGGGGAGGGAAATGGGAGGCGGAGGCGGGGAAGAGACAGAAATCTTTAATAAATAAATAAATTAAAAAATTAAAAAAAAATTAAAAAAAAACAAAAGGAAGACTAAATGAGCCAAGTAAATGCTCAAAGTGCTGAAAAGACATTGATCAAATTAGAGATTGTACAACCAGCACCTTGCTTAATATTAACTTATTTTAGTAATCAGTATCCCATTAATTAGTTCCTAAGACAAAGTGATGCCCAATTCGGCATGCCCTCTTCCCCCAATTTCAAGATTTCATGCAAATCATTATTGTGCTGCAGTTATGATGCCAGATAAAGGTTGGTTACACACAGTGGTTAACATACAAATGACCCTTTGGGAATCATGACATTAGAAAATAGATAAATAAAAACTAGCTACCATCTACAGTCTGGTAGCACTGTGATCGTAATTGGGGTGGTGATGAAGACAGTTGGTAGATAGAAGGAAGAAGCTGCTTACACATCAGACCTCCTCAGGTATAAAGTGAGTTCATACTCTTTCTTGTTAAGTGTGGCTCCATGGACGCCTTCCTTTCCCATGACTATAACCAGTGCTCTACCAGCTCTGCCAACAGCAACATTGTATGTTGGCTCCCCACCTTGACTCTTTTTCCGGATAGCCATTGTGCAGTCACCATCAACGAATAGGTTATCTCTGATTACTGAACACTTCTTTGCACCAAGAGTCAAACAGTTGGTAAAAAGAAACCTTCCCGGCCTTTTCCTACAATCATATCTATTTCTACTGCCGTGGCTGCTCAGACGTATTTGGCGTCGCAGTAGCCAACAATGGCGGCCTCATGGAAGCAGCCATTGTCCATCAGGTTATCCATGTAGCTCTGCCAGACACTGCAGCGGGGACGGCAGGAGCAGAAAGTGCCATGTGATTTAACTGGTGTTTCATGGTGTAATAAATGGTTGAGAAATAACTTTCTCAAGGGTTTTTTTTTTTTTTTTTTTTTTTTTTTTTTGGTTTTTCGAGACAGGGTTTCTCTGTGTTGCTTTGGAGCCTGTCCTGGAACTAGCTCTTGTAGACCAGGCTGGTCTCGAACTCACAGAGATCCGCCTGCCTCTGCCTCCCCAAGTGCTGTGATTAAAGGCGTGTCAAGTTTTTTTTAAGCAATAAAAGATAAATTATTTAACATCAGTGATTAAGTCCTAGAGAAGGGTTGAGGGAAAGTGGAGAGAAAAGAGATAAGGCCTGTATGGAAATTAAGGAGTCCTGTACAAAGAAATAAAAAAGCCAGGCAAAATGAACAAAAGAAAACCATGAGAATGCTTCTGGGGGCTGAGAGAACATGGTAAAGAGGAGAGGTAGGCCAGGCATGCAGATGCACACTGAGGTCCTAGCCTTTGGAAGGCTATATCCTGATACCAGCGTTTGTCGAAAGGTTTTCCTGCACTGACTGAAATGATGTAACTTCAGTCCTTGAGTCTGCATCACATCTCTTGATTTACATACATTGAACATCCTTGCATCCCTGGATACAACCAGCATGGCCATAATGTTTATTCTCCTTATTGCATTTTTAAATTTAATTTGCAAATTATTGTGGCTTTTTGTGTCTGTTTACCAGGAAAATCAGTCTGCAGTCTTCTGTTGCTGCTGTGCACTTCTATGGTTTTGATATCAGGGTTAATACCAGCTTCTCACAATTAGTTTTGCAGTTTTCCTATCTTTCTGCTTCATGGAGTAGTTTGAAGAGTGTTAGTGTTACCTATTCCTGGGTATGATTGGTAGAATGAGGGAAAGAATCTGGTCTTGGTGTGCTGTTGTGAGACCTTACTGCCTCTGTCTCATTGCTTGTTATAGAGCTGTCTAAATTAATTATATCCTCTTGATTTAACTTTGGTAGCGTACCTGTATCTATGAATTCATATCTTCTAGTGTTTTTGGAATGTAGATTTTTTTCAAGGTAGTCCTTCAAATGTTCCTTTGGATTTTGTTGGCATCTGTTGTAATGTGCTGGTTTCATGCTTAATTTGATTGATCATATCCTCCCTCTCTTTTAATTTTTTTGAACAATAGTTTTTCTATCTTGTTTATTTTCTAAAAACCTACTTTGTTTCATTAAGTCTTTGTATTGTTCTTTTAGTGTCCAGCTCATTTCTATCCTATTTCTTATTATCTACTGCTTTGGGGTTTATCTTGTTCTTGTTTTTCTAACACTTTTAGATACACCTTTAAGTTGCTCAAATATAAGATCACTGTTTTTCAGTGACGTTGCACATGGAGACCTGAAGGTAACCTCTGGTG